GTGGTGGTGCTGCTGCTGTTCTTGCTAGTCGCGCCGCCGCCGCCGCTGCTCTCCCTGCTGCCAGCCCGCGCGCTCTGTGTGTGCAGAGGGGGCAGAGGAACACGCGGGAAGCCCTGCCCCCGCCCACCCCGCCAACCGAGACAGACCCATTGACGTCACTTTGACGCCAGAGCGACGCGCGCCCAAGCGCGAGGCTGAATGAGAAAGGGAGAGAGAGACATCCAGCCGTTGCCAAGAGACGGGCGGCTCTGACGCGCGCCCAGATGGACCCGTCGCCCTGGAGACCGGGAAGGAGGGGTGACGTTCGCGCTGAGCGAGCGAAGGAAGGCGAGGAGGGAGCGGGGGGGGGGAGGGAAGAGAGAAAACAGCCCGCCCCGCTGGACCCACCACGTGACCGTTTGTTATCATTGCAGGGGTCGCCCCCTGCTGGAGCCGCAGCCGCCCGGGGTTAACCCTCTGCGCGCCCGAGCCCAGGATGAGCTTTATTTAACCCGTTGCGTTCTAGAGCCCGGTTAGAATAAAAGTTGAGCTCTTGGAGCTGCAGGAAAGCGGGCCGGATTTGACCCACCTCCACGTGCAGTGCTTTATCCGAGTCCTCGACTAACCCCATAGACTCCAGAGCCCCGAGTAGGCTGGATTTAACCTTTTGGCGGGTGGCCACAGACGGGCCCCGGTGAGCCACGCCATGTGCTCCAAAATAGGATTACAAATCCTCAGGCACAAGACCCTGGGCGGCGATTACACCCTGCCACCACGGGGCATTCACTCAGACGAGCAACGTCCAGGTGTACATTTAACCCGGGTTGGCGTACCGGGACAGAAACCTGTTCTGTACCCAGCCTGGGTTGGGAGAAACCCGGAAAGAAAGGGGGTGGCGTTCACGAGTTCAGTCCACGGATGGGTTAATTGTGTTCGTATGTTATGTTTCTGCGTGTTTTAAATATTGTTTAGCTGCTCCTTTCTCCCTGGTTTAAGGCAGCCTTATCTGGCCCAATCCGGAGATGTAAAAACAGGCCCGTGTGCTGCGAATTAGCCAGATGGCAATGAATTCGAGGTGAAAACGATGTAATAAAGCGGGAGTCGCCCTCAATTTTTCTTTGTTCAAGAAAACCGTGCTTTGTAGGCTGTATATGCCCTTTATGAGCTGCACGAATAATACCTGAGCTGAACCAAAACACCCGGCGTGACCTTGACAGTTTGTCCTGGGCCCCGTTTCTGGTCACCTTGCCCCGACTTTTTTGCACTGTAAAGGCCACTCGCCCTTGCCAAGCGCCAGCTCAGAGGAATGGCGAGGCTCTTGGGCGGCACGCCAGGAGGCCAAAGACCGACCCCGGGCAATTTGCTGAGAGCAGACGAGAACGCCGCAAAACCCCGCCAAATTAGCGTGGCGAATTACCCCGGCAGGCGAGAAGCCGCTCAGCCCGCAACAACGTCCGCTGGAGTGAGATGACGCCGCCTGCAGGAGCTGTGGGTTGGAAAGCGGCTTGTGTACACAGAGGTAATTTTCACTCAATTACATGGTTCACGACCTCCTTTCTACGTAACTCCAGGCCAGCTACACCCTTTTCGTTCCACTGGGTTTCCTCCCCTTCCTCCGAGTTATTAGCATAAATATGATAAAATCGAGATACGGGTGATGTATGCACAAATATGAAACATTTTGAGATGCATTTACATGCTTTATGAATAATATTTGATAAGCATGTCCCTCCGTACGTACCATTCCTTGCAGATAAAAAAGTATAATTTTCACAGAAATCTAGTATTTACACACTTAGGAATAAATACCACAGCAATCAAATGTAAGATGCACAAGAAGACATATGTAAGATCAGACCATACAGCTTGTACAGACTACATAATTCGTCTGCATCTACTACATAGTTCATAGTACACAACTGTCTCCCAGTAGTTTACAAGGATGGCATGGTTGTAGAAGAAGATGGACTTAACAGAAGTCTGAAGCTTTGTGTTTTCTAGGTTCTTATGAACAGATGTCCACAGTAACCTTGACGTATTTATGTGATGAATGATATGTACCTTCTGTGTTCGATGATCCATTAATGTTTGTAGGTCTCCCTAAGAACTTTACATGAAATACCAAGATAATACTGTTTATTACTAGGAAATGAAACTTGCTGTTCTTGTTAAAGCACTTAAAGTTTAACAAAAACAGCATGTCCCAGTATTAGCAGCTGCATATGAAGAATTCCGTACAATCTAATACAGAAAAACTATATGTAGTGGGAGCCTGCACTTCTTCATTTTGAAATATTAGTAAGTCACAGCCCTGAAAACCTGGGAGAACACAGTTTAAAGTAAAAGATATGTTTTACTCCAGAGTGGATATGTGTATTTCAGCATAATTGGTAAGGATAATTGGTAATGATTTAAAAGCACACTACAACAGTGAGAAACAATGTGATAATGGAAGAAGGACTGGCAAAAAAAGTCACAGCTTTTCTGTTAATAAGAATGATGGCATCCTCTATCGCCCCATTGCCTCAGATTTATCACTAGTAATGCAAAGAGGGGCAGCTTGGTTCTAAATGAACCAAGTCAGGCAGTTAAGAACCACTGGCTTTAAAATAAACCTGCTCCTGGTGAAAGTGAACACTCTTGGTTTGTTGCTACAGATCAATAGAATTGTCTGCATGTCTATGGGACTACCACAATGGGTGCCTGCACTTCAAAATTTATCCCTATAATACTAGTCTGTGTTCTGGGGTCACTTCATCTTATGTTCCCATGTCTGCTCACTAAACATCCCTCCTCTTCCCCCTCCCTTTTCCCATCTGCTTCTCAGATGATTTTAAAAGTATTCATCATCATGATCTGCTGACTGTTTTCTTGTGCTTATCTTGGTTTATGCTAGATGAGTGGAAGTGTTGTTGCTGTCAAGTTACATCTGACTTCTAGTAACCCTAATAGAGTTCGGGAGGTGGGTGAGATGTCCAAAGAGTGGCTGAACTTTGCCATCCCCTGCTAAGTTTTCATGCTGAGAATTTGGACCCAAGTCTTTTGAGACCAAGGCTGACACAACTCACTACAATATGCTGGCTTTGGATTGGAGACAGCAACCATTTTAAGGTTGGATTTCAGACTGGTCAGGATTTTTGCTTTCTCTGTTGTTGTTTTGAAAAGTGCTGTTTAGATCTTACCACACTAAGATTCAGATAGGAGCAAATCAGTCTGAATTTCCCCCCAACATTGCAGTGTTTTCTCAGCACATGCTTTATCACACCTTCACCGTCTCAGTATAAAATCAATCTACTCAGCCCAGTTATCCTAGAGTGCTTCCAGGTAGAGAGTTCCCAGCACTACCAATCAGCAGCCATTGTGGCACTGTTCCATCTTTCATTCTTCAACCGATTTTTTCCTTGTAAGAGAAAGGAGAAAAGAAGCTGAGAGAAGATGAGGTGGGGGTGGGGGTGGTTTTCAAACTGAAGGCAAGGGTCATCTGAGTCCCCTGTGAACACCGCAACTGGAAGCAGTCACAATTCAGACTCCTGCATGATGTGTATTATATCTAAGGTTCCTACATGAGCTGGCTTGCTCATTGACTTCAATGAAAGGAGCAGTTTTGTGGAGGACTTTGAAAAGTTGCCTTGTGGACGCGACTTTTTCTTGGAGATTTTGTCCCAAAAAAAAGGGCATTTCCTATGCTCTGAATTAGTGTGGAAGTTATTACTTAGCTAGCACACGATGAAGTTCTTGATGTTGCTGTTGTTGTTGTGAGGAGAAAGTAAGATTCCAGTATTATGACACAGGAGATATGAAACCTTGAAGAAGAGCGTTGGCAGGCTCCAAACCAGTGTTGTGTTTCATATCCCCCTTGCTGGGGGCACTAATAACATTAAATAAATGCCAACCCATTCCATAATCACAAGATCCTGCAGCCAACTGACTGACTGGGTTGCTTGACAACAACTTGGGAAATACTGTCCAACTAACCCCCTTCCCCCTGAATGGCTTTCAGGTCACAATGCTGTGATGACAGCAGAAGCTGTAACTGGCAAGGTTCCCACCTCAGAGTACAGTATCTAGACTTTAAACCTTGCAACGCTATACACTCTCGTCTTGCTTTCCAGGTTTGCCCACTTCTTTCCAGCTAGAAGAATATTGCTATTTTTTAAGGTTAATCCAGATATGCATCTTTGAATTACAATTCCTAGAAGCTCTCCAGCTTGCACATATGCATTCAGCATTGACTGGGGATGGGGAGGGGAGCAAGATTGCACTAT